GTTTCGGGAGGATCCCACATGCCGCGGAGCGGCTGGGCCCGTGAGCCATGGCCGCTGGGCCTGCGCGTCCGGAGCCTGTGCTCCGCAAATGGGAGAGGCCACGACAGTGAGAGGCCCGCATAACGCAAAAAAAAAAAAAAAAAAAAAAAAAAAAAAAGTTGTGAGACAGTAATGATCCTTATTCTGGACCTTGCAAATTTACAGGGAGCTGAAATGATTTTCTCTAAGTCATTCAATAAGTTCATTTGTTTATTTGCTAATTTCTTTATTCAGAAGACAGACTATGTTCCAGGAACTGAGCTGGATGTTGGGATACAGAATTTAAAAAGATAAATGTTCTCTCAAGCAGTTCACAGTCTAATCAGGAGAGAACCATAAACCAATGAGGAATCAGATCAATGTGATACATCCTAAGAAAAAAGATTGAACCCAGGTCTGTAGAAGAAGTGCTTCACTCTGTTTGAAGAAATCATGGTAACAGACTGGATCCTGAATCCCAGAGGAGGTGTTCTTTGAAAAATGATCAGGAGTTCTGAAAAGGGTGTGTGTGTGGGCGTGAGTGAGAGGTATAGGATTGGAGACCTCTTTCCAGACCAAGAGAGGGCAAAGGTGTGAAGACAACAATCAGCACACCAGGTTTCGGGAACTGCAAGATGAATAGATTAGGTGGTAGACATCCTGGCAAAAGTTCAAAAGAGTCCTAAAAGGCAGGGGTCCTAGTGGGCCTGATAATAACCATGACATCAAATTGGCAACTATCGGGGAGTACCAGAGTGATAATTATTTTCTGAAGCCCTGAGGTATTGGGGTTTTCAAGAGTGTTTGGAACTGGAGAAAAGTTCAGTGTTGAGAGCAGATTTCCTTGTTCATATGGCAAAGATATGTTATCTCAGGGACCTGTAAGAGCTTGCAGATTTCTATTTGCATTTTACCAGGAGAACAAGATCAGTAGAGGCTGTTCTTCTCAGCCCTACCCTTGGCTGCATATTATGGGGGCTTCAGATTGTGGGGAACTCAGATCTGGGAGTTATATATATATGTCATGAAATTGTTATGCCACTACATAACATTCCTGTAGCTCACTATGAACTTTAGAACCAGATGAACCTCACTCTCCTAGAAGCCAAAACATTCCTTGAAGGAGTTTTCCTTACCCAACCACTTAGCATATACCCAGAAATTGGGCTCTGGAGTCAGACAGGTAGGGGTTTCCATCTCCAACCTGGCTGGGGTAAGGACCTGGTAGGTTTTCTTCCCCTTCTGATACCAACCAATTCTTTGATTCTCTTATTCTATGACACCAAATGGTGTCCTACAATTCAATTAAA